CCTGTGTTTTGTCATATCGCCTGATAATTTTGCATGAGAGATTTATTCTTTTGAGATAATAGAATGCAAATATCTCTGGAATGTTCTTTGCTGCATTAGTCACATGGCTACTAGTGAACCAAAAAAAAAAAATATGTTTATTACATGATAAAGAAAAAAATGTCAGTTAACAAATCCCTGGAGCCTATACATCAGACGTTGCTTAGCAATTTCCACAATTTTCTCAGTTTAGTTTATAAGAATAGAGACTAGAGATCAAGGGCATGTGAGAACATTTTATGTGTTTATAAAATGGTATTTATTCTGTGTTTCTATTCTCTCTATATTTATTTAATAACTAAAGAAATGAAAAGTTAATAGGTGGATGTGATAGGCTGATACGGCTTTAGTTGGGTGGTATGGAATGACTTCTCCCAGGATGTCCTTTTTAAGTCTTAAATAGAAATTGTATCCAGATGTGTAAAAATTTGAAAGAACTTTTCAGGCAGAGGAAAAAATGTACTTTGTTTCTGAAGGAGTAAAGAACTTACTGTATCAGAGAACAAGTAATTTTTACTTTAATTAATTTATGCATTCAAGTTTATTATAACTTAAAGCCTGTAAGACTTTCCACCAGTTGGATCTATTTAAAATTTAATTCTCCACTGACCCTTTTTTACTATGCATCATGCTAAGTCATTCCCCCATGACTTCGTATATGCTCATTCTTTTGTCTAATAGTCTCTCATTCATTTGTTCTTGCTGGATAAACTGATTCATCTCTAAAAAAGGACCTTTTAAGAAAAGCCATTTCTCACTCTGTTGCCCAACACTATAGAATTATTCAATCTTTGTGCTACCATTATCTTATGCATTTGAAACACTTCTTTGCTATCACTAATTTATATATGCTCTTTCATTACTAGTAAATTTCTTTAGCACAGAGGTATTTGGATTCATCCCTGGGTAGATATGATTCACTATAGTAGTAGTAGAGTACAGTGGAAATTATGGGAGAAGTGAAGAAAGGTAAGAGGATGATTGGGCCAGTTTGGTGGGCCATGTTAAAGGTAGCTTTTATCAGGGAACATTAATAGCACCATACTGTAAGAGATGATATAGATAGCATTTAATCCTAATTCATGCAGAATTAGAAATACATACTTCAAATTATTTTTTTTCCCTCAGAAATCATCCATTATACTAGTGGTTGCTCAAGGTCTGAGGAGATAAATGTCTAAGCAGTTGGCATTTGTCTAGGCTTTTTCATAGTCAGGGAGAGACTCCCACCCTGCAGCTTCTTCTTGAAGTTATTAGTGGTACAAAATTACATGATACAAATTTATTGAATGGACTATGCTAGTGAATAAATGTATAAACCTGTATATTCATACCAGTATGGATAACTTATTCAAAGAAAAAGATGAGGAGTGTAAACCTGTAAGTAAAGGGCTCATCGTAAGAAACTGTGACCATACATCCAATTCTTGGAATTTTCCCCCAGCAATTCACAAGGAGCTTCTCTCTAATAAATGTTTCCCTGTTTTATTGAAAGCTAGAGCTTCTTTACTTGTTTTAAATCAATAGAAACTGAAGATTAAGTCAACAGAAATTGGAGCTTATTTTTATCAAGTCATTTGCTTTTCTCTGAAAAAATTAGGTGTAGGTTATTATTTTAAAGTTTATTTTGTATAGTATACCAGAAGATTCCCATTTTCATTGAATATGGTTGCTTTATGTCTTTATATGTGTGTGTGTATACAGACACTTGCTAATTATTATAATCAGTGATCTGAAAATAATGTAAAAATATGCAGATTTGCATCTTTATATAGTACATGTTATTTTTAACTTCAGAAATCATAAAATATAAATAGCTGTTGAGAACTGTAGTTATTAAAATTATTTGACCAGTACTAGGAGGCAAACTGAGCTAACAATATTACAAAGTAACTATAACATACACTATATGTGTTACATTTTATGTAATCATTAAAACAATGTTATTGCTGGCACTATACCCACTTTGTAGAAGAACTGAGATTTATATACCTTATTAAACTTGGTCAAATTTTTATAACTTAGACATTCTGGACACACTCATGTTTGAGTCTAGGCCCATGATCTTTTGAGTGCTTCCCAGAAGGCTTTTTTCTATTCCTGGACAGTAACAACATTTTTCAAATTGAGTTTATCTATCTCATCTGCAACAGAAGAATGTTGGCCTACCTTAGCATTCCTCACAAAGTATTTGTTAATAGTTGTTTCACCACCCATAATAATTTTTTTCAATATTCTACATTCATTTGTGCTTATTGTAAAATAATGAAGTAATTATTACTCAGTAATAGTTACAGAAACTTAATTTCAGTTTTATTAATTTAAACATCTGTTTAGGGCCTCCCTGGTGGAGCAAGGGAGTCTCAGCACTATGAAGCTATCTGCGGCCACTGCAGCACCATATAGTCCCTGCCCAGAGTTTGGCCCACATGGCGTAGCAGAGCTCTCCTATTTTGCCCATTGCTGCCCTCAGCAGTGTATTTCTGTAGATCCACCTGTCCTGCTCCCCACTTTGTCTGGTGAATCCTCTCACCACCCCCTGTTCCTCTGGCCTACACCCTAGCCCTTGCATGCATAAATAAAACTTAAAAAAATAAATAAACATCAGAATACGTCTGAAAAATACCAGCTGTGAAATAGCATATAGAGAGCGTCTTTGTGAAAAATAAATTATAGCTGAAAATGGACCAAAGACACATGAGAAGGTATAGATTACGCGTATGAGAGTGGAAGTTGGCCTGGAGTTGTCTTAAATATATTTTGTATGAAAGGGCTGTCTTAAAAGTTATCGGATCCTAATAGTTTGTGGAGAGACTGACTGATGAAACACAGATCATGATAAGTAGGTGAGAGATGCCTACCAATGAGTGGGGAAGAGGAGGAAATGGGTTGAAGAACCCTGAAACAGAAACTGAAATACCCTGTAAGGGAAAAAAGACCAAGACTCAGCTTTCACTACTCCCAAACCCAGAAACAATGATGGCAGTTAACAAAAGTACCAGCCTGGTGCCCTCTCTGGTGGCACAAAGGTTAAAGGGCAGCATTTGGAACCAAGCCACAGCCACTTCAACATGAGTTCGATGCCTGGCCAAGTCGGTGACCCACATGGCACAGCCAACCTCTCCTTGTCTAGCCTGATGGCTCCCCTCAGCAGTGTTATTTTGTCGATTGGCCTGTCCTGCTCCCCACTCTGTCTCTGGTGAATCCTCTCACTGCTCCTGCACCTCTGGCCTGTACCCCAGTTTTGTATGCATAAATAAATAAATCTTAAAAAAAAAAAAATAAGTACTAGCCTGCAGGAGTTTTCCTGTGTTCCCCGCGCTCCTCCCTCCACCAGCATGAACCCCGTATGGTAAGAAACTGCAGATTAGCAATTGAGGAGAGGAAGAAAGACACATTGAGAAAATAGTGGCATATCTACCCAGGCCGAACTGTGTGCTACAGGTCTCCCTTCTCTTCTTGCATGGCTGATTCGGTGAGTGCAGAAATTTTAATTTTAAATGAAGTTTGGAATTTTTATTTTTACTATAACTGTACCTATGTTTTCTGTAACTGAAATAGTTAAGTAACTAAAGCACCAAGAGGATTTTTATTATTTAAGTTCACTATAGGGTACCTATCAAGATTTTATTCAGTGGAAGGAGAATTACTCTATAGAGCTTACTTCAGCTGTTATTATGAGAGAAAATAAGTTACCTGCTGATTTCATTTTATCAGTTTCATAATATTTTATATACACATTTATATTCATCTATCATATGAAGCATGTTTTTTGCAGAGATTTTTTTAAAAAATTCTATTCTCTTAAATGCATTCAGTATATTCTTCTTCAGTGCTTTAGCTAAAAGCAAATAAAGGCAAGGATTTTATTTACAAGAAGTTTTCTTTATAATTGGAGAAAATTGTATTTCATCTAAATTCCATGTCAAGTGATATATCTGATACCCTATGCTTGCATCTGAGATGCCCTGTCATGCTTACATCTGAGATGCAATGTTTATAAAACACAGTCTCAAATCAACAGGATCAGAATTAAATTTGGAAAAAAGTACCCAATAAGATATGTAATATGAGGTAGAATTAACCTTAATTGAATTCATAGAGGATATCAAATTAGATATAAATCTGTAATGGGATATTATATTGGATATGAGTTATATTAGATTTACATTCAGAATAATGTGTTATGTTCACTTCTGAGTACCATTTAGACAGAACATTAAAAGAAACATTAATTTCTCATAATATCTCCTGACACCTAGATGTCATTGGACACTTTGTCAATCTTTATTATTCATATAAAAAATGGTTTTGAAATTTTCTGAGAACAAATATTTATATTTTAATAATACAGGAAAATGTTTCTTAAGCAACAACTTAGTATCTTAAAAGCTGATCTATCAAGTACTTAATTTCAGATATTAAATGCTAGTAGGGTATACAAAGGAGTTTTTAAGCAAATGTTACATATTTAGCTTAAAGGATTAACTTAGGGCTTGGTGTGAGCATAAAAATAATTTTACTTGAAACTAGTGTTGGAAATTGTGATATAGGGATTAAAGAATATAAAACATTATTTCATTAACAGTAACTATTCATGAAAAAATAAATCCTTAAGTGTAGCAAAAATGAATAGTTCATACAGCATGACTCTGAAAATTTAGACTGCTAACAAAAAATAGTTATGATTATATAGCTTTCTTAATATTTAAATAGTCTTAAGTTCCTACCTATGAGCTCTTATTCACTTCCCCCTTACTACTAGAACCCCTTTTTTGTCATATTGGCAATGTACCTTGGTAAGAAGTTCACCTTCTCAGACTCTGATAAACCAGGATAGCCTGGGGGAAAAAAAAAAAAAAATGTGTAGGCAATGAGATAAAAGCATGGAACTGCTAGAGACCTCTGGGAATATTTTTGTTTTTCTAATAGAGACTCTTTGTTCCTTTCTTTTTCTTCAGCCTAGAGCACAACTGAAGAGGAAGAACTCATCTTGCCCACACACTTTGATTAACGTGGAGATAAAGGCTTTCCCGTACAGGTGATGGAGCAAAATGACAGAAGAGGCTTAGACCCCCTTTCTTCAGACTTCTTGTTGTATAAGGAAAATAAAAATGCAATTACAAGATCATACAGTTATTGGCTTGTATTTCATGCGTCTAAATACATCACAATTCATACAATGTATAATGTAACAGCAAGTACATTTTTTTTTGATATTTTGAAATTGAGATAAAATTGGTTTACAACATTGTGATTTAGTGAGATAAGTTCATATGTCTTTAGATGTATGTTATCACACCACACCTGCCATAGACCAAAGCACCATAATCTTCCTCCATAGACCACTGGACCCCCTTCCCTCCTTTGTTTGTATATCCTACCCTCTTCCTTCTAGTAGACTTATTCCAACAGTCATATATTATGGATTTTGATTTAGTTTTATCTTTTCCTTTTTTCTTTATATTCTGCATAAGAGTGGAAACACCTTGCAAGTGGCAAGATTTCATCTCTTTGTAGCTGAATACTACCCCATTGTGTGTGTATACTACAGTTAAGCCACTTGGCTGTCCTTGGGTGCTTTGGTGGCTTCCATAACTTGATTGCTGTAAATAGTGCTGCTAGATCATATGGTAGATTCTATTTTTAGAATTTGGAGGAGTGACCATATTGTTTTCCATAAGGGTGTGACCAGTCTACATTTCCAACAACAGTGTACAAAGTTTACTTTTCTCCAAACCTTGCCAACATGTGTCTAAGTATTTTGATGTGGGCCATTCCTCACAGATATGAGTTGGCATCTAATTTTAGTTTTGATTGCATTATCCTTATAAGTGATATTAAACATTTTTTATGTGCCTTTGGTCATCTGTGTGTCTTCTGTGACATGTCTACTTAGCTTTTCTGCTGATATTTTGATTAGATCATTTATTCTTTTTGTTAATATGAGTTGTTTTTACACCTTGAATGTTATTTGTACTTTGGATGTATTATATACAAATATTTTCTCCCAATGGGTATGTTGTCTATTGTTTTATGGCAATTTATTTTACTACAAAAAAAATTTTAGTTTGATATAACTTCATTCATTTTTTATTTTGTTTCTCTTGTCATTAGAGTCAAATCCCTGAGGTCATTGTTTCCAAGAATGTTGCCTGTGTCTCTTCCTATGTCTTTTGTAATTTCAGGATTTACATCTAGTTCTTTAATTGAATTTGAATTAATTTTTGTTAATGGTATGAGTAAATGATCTAGTTCCATCTTATAGCATGCCATAGTCTAATTTTCCCAACGCCATTTTTTGAAGTAACTTTACTATTTCCATTGATATACTTGAGATCTTAACTGTTAGCATGTAAGTTTGGGTTTTATTTCTAGATAATCAGATTTTATGTTAATACCATATTGTTTTTATTTCTATAGCTCTGCAATATAGTTTGAATCTGGGCATGTAAAACCTCCCTCCTTTTCTGTCAAGATTGCTTTGACTATTCAGGTGTTTGTTTATTTTGTAGTGCCATAAAAATTTCAGTAATGTTCTTTTCATTGAAACTTTGATTCTGTATTCCTTTGTGTAAGACAGTCATTTTAACAATGTTAATTCTTCAGTTCATGCAAAGAAATATCTTTACATTTCTTTCTATCTTCTATCATTCATTTCATTACAGTATAAGAATGTCCTATATACCTCTCTTGTTGAACAGGTGAAAGAGGGCAAAACATAACACACAGTTGTAGTAGGCAAGGTTGATTTCATCAGCAGACTTCCTATCTAGTTACCTTCATCTTAATGATAGTAACAACTATTATATTGTGGTAATAAGGTAAAGATAATACTTAATAGATCATATTATCTCAAGAATAAGGTAATAGATAATAATTGTAGTATTCTCAGACATAAATGGGTAGATGCCTATGAAAATGGAAAGAAAATAAATAAATGATGATAGACACAAAGTTAACACCAGTTGATAAATTTGGAAATTGTGAATTCTTATTCAATTTCCAGATAAATTAGTTCTCAATTTTAGAACTCTAAAAAAAAAAAAAAACTAATAATAATAATAATTGAAAAACATTCAGAACTCATTGATTGAACTACATGTTTCTTCTGAGAAAGAAGCCTGCAATGCCACGTGAAATTTATACAATAAGTATTCCCTTGGTTATTCTCCAAAGGAAACTGGAACTAGTTCCAACAAAATAAAGTGGGCCTCTCTGGTGGCTCAGGGATTTAAAGCCTCAGCACTTGTCAATCTGTCACTAGCCATGGCAACATGAGTTTGATCCCCACCAGGGAGCTAACCCACATGGTGCAGCAGACCTCTCCTGTTTTTTTCCACTGTTCCCGTCAGCAGAACATTTCAGTTGATCTGTGTGTTCTGCTCCCCAATCTGTCATTGGTGAATCCTCTCACCACCTGCACCTATGGCCTACACCCATATCTTCTACACAAAAGTAAATAGACTCATTAAAAAGAAATAAGATGGGGAATAGAGGTTAAGAAGAGGGAAAACCCAGAAATTTCTAGGACAAGTAAATATAAAACTGAACTCACACTGATTCCATGAAATCTGAGATACCACCAGGGTTCTCTATGACAGTCTGTTTATAAGAGGTCAAGTGGAGTTTGGCTCAAGTCCTTTTCACAGAGTATTCAAGCATCTTTAGACTTAATCTGTTATTATTTCTTTGGTTACCATGTTCATGATTGAAGGGGGGACACTTACTAACTGGCAGTACCTATACATCAATGCCTGGGGAGTAAGAGTCACTAGGACATCAGGAACCAAGTGAAAACCCCAGAAACATATTCCTATACTGAGGAAATTTATAAGTCAGAATAATACTTTATTCTGGAAGGAAATGCTGAGATTGATGCCACTTCCAAAGACTCAGCGGATATAGGGGTGATGGTCTGCATAATATTTCTACTTAATTTGCCCATGTGTACTATATAGAAATGAAGTGGATTTTGGCAGATGCATATTACTATAAATTTATCCAAGTGGCAAGCCAATCACAGCTGCTGTATTATACCATCTGTCACAAAGGCTGCTGTTGGGGCTACCACTTGCTTAAGTGATAGTAGACTAACACAGACTTTGACACTTACAGGATCTCACATATGTATATATATGTGAGATCCTGTAAGTGTGTGTGTGTGTATATATATATACACACACACACACACACATATATACACATATATTTATTATATTTCACTAAAGAGAATCAAGTTTCAGTTTATCAAATGGTGAGAACAGAGGTTCACATTTACTTCCTAGCCTGTTGATATGCAATGAGCCCGCTCTCTGTCACAGCTGAGTATTGTTTATCTTGATCATTGTGACAATCCACAGAGCATAGAACTTGATCCGTACATTAATGACATTACAATAATTGGACCTTGCGAGCAGGAAGTAGAAAGTACACTATATAGCCTAGTTAGATGCTGTGTCAGAGGCTGGATGATAAATCTCCTGCAGATTTAGGTGACTGACCCAATTTTGGAGGTCCAGTGTTCTGTGATAACTGCAGCATTCTACCTGAGATTAAAAACAAAGTTTCATACTCTGTACTTGATACCATGACTGAGGTACAGTGTTTGATAGATCTCTTCTGATTTTTGAAGACACAAATGCTGAACTTGAGAATATGCTGAACTCTGACCCATATATTTTGTAACTTGGAAGCTGTACACTTTGGAAGATTCCTAGAGGAAGAGAAGATTCTGCAGAAGGTGCAGCCTGACGTGTCTGCTCACTTGGGCTTTCTAACTCAGCAGGCTGGATGGAGATAAAAATATCTAGGAAAAAAAGTTTGCTATGCAGTCTGGTAAGTTTCTAGAACATGAAGATCATGTATTCTCTATCAGATAAAATGAGAATAATCTCATATTAAATAAACATTCCTGCCATGATTCTGGATTCTACTAGAAGTAGACAACCTGACAACAGTTACTAACTGTGCAACTGGGGTTTCCTTTACTGAGCTGAGCACTATCAGATCCATCATTTTATAAAGTTTGGCAGGTACAGAAACAGCATTTGGATTTCATCCTGAGCATATCCAGAATATATGTGTACATCACACAAACAGATGACGCAGACTTGCATGTCACCTTTTACTGATGGTTTATCTCAACTTATATCTTTGACTTCAAGAGGTCTTTCCCAAAATTAACTAATATAGAGAAAGAGAAATTTAGGGCAATGCAAAATGGATTGATTTGATATGCTGGTGGTAAACCAAAACAAAAACACTGATGCCAGTGGTCATACTGGTGGGCCAGTATGCAAAAAAAAAAAAAAAAAAAAAAAAGTGAAGGGAAGAGATTAAAGTATTGCTGGTGTTAGTCAATCCTGATTATCAATATTGGAGCCTGGCTGCTACACACAAAAAGTTAGAGGATATTGTCTGTAACCCCCTAAATTTATGAGCTTTTATGCTCATGACAGCTGCAACAAGCTTGGTTAGAAAAAGTGTTTTGCCCTCTATTTCTGTGTAAAATTTATTAGTATATAGCAAAACTATATATAATTTATTTACAACTTAGGTGAAATTCAAAAGGGAAATCTTATCTGTTTCAGATGATTTCTCTGGTGTTTCAACTGGAACAATGGAGAACTTACCCTGTATCTCTCCAGGTACTTTTAGGAACTCAAAGATTGTGATTCAACCTGACTGAATTTTCTCAAGCATATTACCCTCAAGCCAGTAGCATGTATTACATGGTGACTGAGAGCTCCTAAGGTGAGTGAGTACTCCAAGTTGCCAAGGCAGAAGCCATGAATGCATTATCACATCCTAGGTATTCATTAATCACACAGATATAGTTGCTATTTAATATATGAGGGCACTACATCTACACTTCAGTACAGTGGAATGTGAAACAAGGAGCTCTGAGAGTGGTCAGTTTTTAAGAGAAGATACTAAGTAGTCCATACTGCTGACCTGGAACATTTTTACCATGCGTTCAGATGCATTACAGTTTTAGGAAATATGATTTCAAAATAGTCTTTCTCTTTGACAGGTTATTAGACTGACTAGAAGAAAAAAAGATGATTATTGTATCAGAACAAAATAAAAGAAAGCCTATATGGTGATTCCTTTTTTTTTTTTTTTT